ATTAAGACGTGGTACAATGGAGGGACCTGACATGGTGGAAAAATCAGAAGAAATCAGTGTCTTGCACAAGCAGAGGCTGAGAAAGGAGAACAGCTGCACAAAGTAAAACCAAGTAATTGACTCATATTCTCATTGAAGCATTGCAAAATCACCCACAAATTACAAGCAAACAATTAACCGAAACCTTTCCCCCCTGCAATCTAGCTTACTAAGAACATAGTCTCTATTTCTATCATTTCTTAGCAAAGTACTGTAAACGAATCCTGAAAAATAAGCAAACAGGAAAATAAGCAAAAGGACATTCTTGAAAATTATACCAGTTTCCTTTTTTAATTTGCTTAAAAAAAATATTTCAGGACATTTAAAATGTAAAGTGAACTGTCTCTTAAAAAAACAGCTATAAAATTCCATTTGGGTCAGGTATTATTAGACATGTCAACAGAACTTCTGTTACAGAAAAATCAGGCAGCCTATTACTGTCCTCACTAATTTCTGTTATCTTAAGACCCCCGCCCCCCAGAACCCAAAGAGAAAGTCACAACATAGATTTTGTTATTTTACTTAATCTGCCTGAAAAGCTAAACATTTCCTCCTCCTCCTCCTCCTCCTTCTCCAGTGACATCATTCTATAGCATCATGCTCCAGCAGCCCTAAAGTGAGTAAAAAACACAAAAAATACGCATCTCTCTCTACTCATCTTTAAAGGATACTATTCCAGGACAGAGAAAGATGTAACTTTCAGAAAGAGAGGAAAAAACACAGCTACTTGCAATTTTGAACTACACTATGTTTATGGCATTATATAATAATCTTTTTCAACATGCTTTTAAATAGGCTTTCAAGTTTGGATGTTAATAGCCCATTCTTCTTGTCTCTTAGGGCCATTTAAAATTGTTCCACTGTAATTCACTAACAGATTTCAAATAAAACTGGTCGTTTCCTCCTTGCTAGTTGTTCTTGCATTAATCTCCTTGAACTATAAATTGTTGCCTCATAGGCAAACTCTGATGAATAATAAGAGGAGCGATAAATAAGTATCTCACGTGCAGGAAGTCAATGTTAGCTCATACAGCAGGATTTAAAGGAAGATGGTTATTGTACAACAAACAGGAAATATGCTTGCTTGAATATAATGAAACGATTCCTAATTTATACAAAAACCCGAATTCTTTGGTTTTGTAAAATATCGCACATTGCTAGCAAAACTTTAGTATGTTTACATTTTATAATTAGTCTCATCATTTGTTTTCCCCCCCTGTAAAACTTAAAAAGATAAAAATAATAATTGAAGTAGAGTGCTAGAGCAAATTATGTAACATTATCTAAAAATCCTGGTTATGCAGTATATTTTGCTCCATATCATATAATTAAGTCTGTTTTGGAACAAGCATATGTAAGTTAAGTATGCTAGATATTCATTCTTTCATTCAATTTCTAAAGCTGTCCAACCCAACAAAGTGACTCTGACTGGAGTCCAGGATATTTAGAGAAGCAACATCACTATTGTTTATACAAAGATTAAAGTATAAACCAATATATTGGTATTAGGTGCACTGGAATGTGTAAATAATAGGGAGCAATCTTTGAAGAAAAATTATTTTCCAACAGATCAAATGGAGTCATCCAAGTTGTTTAAACAAAGTTAATTATTCAAAATTTTCAAAGTAAAAAAGGCACATTCATATACATAACAACAATAACAACAACAATAATAGTTGGAAGGGACCTTAGAGGTCATCTAGTCCAACCCCCTGCTCAGGCAGGAAACCGTATACCATTTCAGACAAATGGCTGTCCAATCTCTTCTTAAAAACTTCCAGTGTTGGAGCATTCACAGCTTCTGGAGGCAGGTTGTTCCACTGATTAATTGTTCGAACTTCCACTGATTAATTGTTCTAACTGTAAGAAAATTTCTCCTTAGTTCTAGATTGTTTCTCTCTTTGGTTAGTTTCCCTCCGTTGCTTCTTGTCCTGCCTTCACTAATTCTATGTATTTACTTTAAAAAATCCAGTAAATAAGCCAACATGATCCCAATGTCACTGAAAACACCACTATCGTTCATTGATTAGGAATTATTCATAATCGTACATTGGCCAAGTGTGGGGTTTTTTTGGTATCGTCAGTTCTACAGGGATATTTGCCAGGTGATTTTTTTCTTTTTTTATCTACATTTCTGGGGCACTCTGATAATTTTTATTTGCAATGTCTGTTGGACATCCAGGATAAATCTCTCTAAAAGTAGTAAAATTTCGCTCCATTATGTGTAAGCTTTGCTCACAAATGTCTGTGCAGATTCTCAGTCATCCAGGTCATGGTTGTATCAAAGGTGCTTTTTCAAAAGGTAACTGGACTTTGTTTTTTCCTTGAAGATGTTTGCTTTTCATCCAAAAGCTTCTTTAGTTCTTGAAGAACTTTTGAAAAAGCACCTTTGAGACAACCATGACCTGGATGACTGAGAATCTCTACAGACATTTGGGAGCAAAGCTTACACATACTAGAGCAAAATTATGGAAATTTAAGGAAAAACAAAAAGTCCAGTTGCCTTTTGAAAAAGCACCTTTGGGACTTTGCTCACAAATCGTTGCTAGTAGTCATTGATATTAGGGCTTAACTTTGCTTTGTTTTGACAAACGTATTTTTATTGATCAATAACTAAAATAAAATTTCTGTCTATCATATATTGTACAGATTCAGAGGATGCAAATGAAGCCATGGCAATGAAAACATAGTCTATGCATTAATGCATACAAAATGATACTGCAGAACTCATTATCTGAAAGCTATGCGGTGGCATAAGAGCCAAGTACCCTAGTAACTAACATTTTATCTCAGCTAATCTATAGAGGAGGTCTCCTCTTAAGATTATTATCCCATATGGCTGAGGCTAATAGCAAGCACTCTACCTACAACTTCTTAAAAATTCAGGGTTTTAAGAGATTTGCATTGAGAATATAGCAATTTTTCCTCTGTTAAACCTGCACACAAGATATATGGATGGAGAAGTTGAACCAAATAGCCTATAAACTACCACAAAATTTAAGAAGCTGCCTATATGTGGGATGAATGCAAATGCCAGTCCTAACTGGTTTAGTGTATTAATGAATATATAACATATATACTAAGCTTTCTTCTAAGACAGAAATCTGTAAAATTATAATCCAAAGTAATCACGGACTTGATTCTGAACAATATATTGTCCCATGTGTTATTTGCATGTTAGGGACAAGGCTATGCAGTCTTAGGCAACTGCATCCCTGGGATAGGAAATAAGAACCCACAACAACTCTAATGAGTTGTTAACACTTTCCTAGCAAAATATTTAATAATTATTTTGGGAAACAACTTGAATGTCTAATGCAGCAGAACCCTAGCCCTAATCTTAAAGTTTTCATACCCTGGTAATTCACAAATAAAATCCCCTATGTCTGAAAATAAATTTACCTGCTGCAACATATTTTAAGATGGAACTTACACATTAATTTTTTCTAATGACTATTGCACATATGGGTGGATGATGTTGAAATATGACTGCCAAGCTGAAGGAATTACTCAAAATTGTAGCTGAGCTACCAATAGTCTACTACACAATGTACACATTCCAATAATGATTTTGTAACGCTCTCCTTTGGAAGCAAGCTTGTCAAATGAATAAATTACACCAGATACTTATTTATTTCTGCTTCATATCAGGATAAAGAAAAAACAATTTTTTTCTGGGAAAGAAAGAGGTTCCAATAAATTCTTGGGCACAGTCATAAAATACTGCACATAGATTATGCCTACCATGACATCAACAACCCCATATTATCAAGAGCTGATGCAGATATCATTTTATGGTTCCCATATATCAAATGCTGGTAACTGAATGAAACCTGAGTGGAATTTTTTTTTCTTTACAGCTGCTTATCATGTCCAGCAAAAATTGTTCTAAAGTGACAGCCCCCAATAAAACACAAAGATTTATTTCAACTTGATGATTACTCATACAGTAGTCCCCATTATCTCCTTGATACAAAAGCAATACTGATTATATATACGGTTAGTCACTTTGGAATGGCTTGATTATATTTTTTGATGCCTTCCAAATAATAGGGGAGTTTGTTATTGGTCACCTGCAGGCAAAAGACATACATGAGACTTTTCTGAGACCAAGGCTTTCAAAGAATGATGTAACAGTAATAGGGGATGGGGGGGGGGAGAATATCAATTATCCTGGTATGTGATGTCAATCCAACTCTACCAGTAATCAGAGATGCAACAAATTCTTGGCCTCCATTACTGACAACGTTACTTGTTGGAGTAGGAAAAAAGAAGCTAAGAGAGGAAAGTGCTTTCTCCACTTAAATAAAAGGTTTGGCTGTAGCTTTTTTAAATTTGAGAATTAAATAATAAGAAAGGCAGTCACTGCACACTTATAAATTCAAAGAAAGAAAGAAAGACAGAAAGTCCTAAACATGCCTGTTCCAAATCTGAATCCAAAAGAAAGTCCTAAACATGCTTGCTTCATATTTGATCTCCCAAAATCTAGGGGTATTACAAATATTAGGGTTTTAGTTTTGGGATGGGGAACACTGGGCAGCAGGAGGTGAGGATTGTAAGTCTTAGTATATTCAGACATAATTTACTGCTGGAAATGAGGGGTCGCTCTCTTCCTGGTCTATGCGATAATCCGCCTTCCACTTAAATCCTGGTGCTTTTGAGCTGGTATTGGCAGGCATGTTTGATGTACCTATGCCATGATCCATTTGTTTTTCTAAGCACACCGCCTGCCAAAGCCCATCAACAGCCAAGCACAGAGGCATCTCAGCCTAAAACAATTAATCCTCCTGATATGAACTGACCTCACTACATAAATTCCTGCAAAAAGCATTAGAATGTGGTAGAACTATATTTCTAGCAAAAGCCATTGCTACTGTCATGTTTAAGAAAAACTGGCAGGTGAAGCTTGCCAACTGGTTATTCATCATCAGAGTCAAATGAAGAGCTGCAGCCATGTTTACCTGATGCTATTTCCTGGGATGATCTGCGTCTTTCTCCTGTTCTTCTCCTGTCTGCTGGATTGCTGCCATTCCATGAAGCCATGTTGATGTGTCCTTTGGTAGAACCGAATTAACCTGAAAAGATTATGGGACAGATAAAACAATCTATTTAGTTGTTCCAAGATCACCAGCCCAACTCTTGTTTTTATCACTCAAAAGTCTGCCTCGCTTTCTTAAAAAAGCAATGCTCCTTCATCACGTCCTCCCCCCAAACGTTGATCCCTAACTTAACTTAATTTTTGACACAATTATTCCCATTGTTCTCACAGATACACAACTAAACAGCTCCTGAAAAGCATATTGGAAATGAGAGCTTTTTAGAAAAATTTGCAATGGTTTGAATTGCTGAAACAGATTTGAATATCTACAAACAGATAACGTATGGTACCTATATATGCAATACCTATACCTGCAATTCTGAGATTGATACATTTATATCATAAATAAATATGTCTATATCTGATGAAATTGCACAGCAATAATAGAGACTGTTTAACAGAAATGTTTATAAATACAATATAAGTATAAAGTAATGATTCAGTCACATATCTTACAATCAATATCTTATATTAGGATTTATATAAAATATAAGACTTATTATTAAGGCTTAATACTTCAAGTCCTAACCAAGAACCTTTGAATTATTATAGTGTCTAAAAATAGACTCAATTCCAAGCAGGGTGTTGTTTTTGTAAAATTAGGGTGCTCAGGTCTGATAAACCTAATAATTCCAGATACTGAGGAATCCTTTATATATATCTTTGAGGGCTCCAATTATGATTTGTGTAAAATAGATTTCTTTTTCTATAAGTGCTTATTATTAAGTTAAATATAGTGCAATTCTTGACTTTCTTGGCCTCTAAAGAATAGATGAGCCTTGGTCCCAATTCTGATACCCGTTTTCTCTCAATTCTAGCTTAAATTAGAAATATTTACATTTGAGATGGCACTGATTTTCAGTTTTTCTTCCAGCAACTCCAGCCTGCTTTTTAAAAGTGGCCATTAAATGGCTATTTTGATCTCTTAGCACAAAGGGAAGTTTGGGAATGATTTGCTTACATGCCCAAACCCATGTAGATCTATTCAAGGTAATATGCAGCTGAAGTAATGCTTATATGACTGACGAAATAGAGAACCTGGTGTCTGGTCTGAAGGGCTGGCTGACAGGCTGGTAAACTGCTACCGTTGAAGCAGGAGGGGAACAAAAGGAAGATATTCTGGAAGAATATGATAAACTCACAATTCAGTGGCTATACTGAACAATGCCATGCTTGGCTGGATGTCCTGCTTATTTATTTCTGATTAATGTAGCCCAACAATTCTAATCACCTTTACAATCCCATAAATTTGCTCTGAAAAAAAGAATCCTTTATAATCTATAATCTAAAGGGATTTAAGGCCCCTTTTCTGACTCTTTCAGTTGAATACAGATGTTGTTAATTGTTTGGAGACCCTTTCTCTTGTTTATGTAGGGAATTATGTGATTTAGATTTATCAGCTTCTGTGTCTTCCTGGGTCTACTTCTGTTTTCATTATTGTTTGTCGTATGCAATAATCACCTTAGGCATAATTTTGATAAAGAAGGGTTTTCATGACAGAAGGAAGTGGTTGCTCTTTATACTGTAGGAATTGGAAAGAGAAAGGAGGCAAAGGTCTGTTTTATAGTTAGCACTAAGGACCTGTATGACTTGGACAAACTGATAAGCAGCTGCTTATTCCTGGCTTTGCTTACTGGTGCATCTATTTACTTGGGACTGGTTCTGGTTCCTCTTTCATTTGTTCTGCAAAAGAAAACCACCGTCATTGTACTGAATTAACTCTTTTCTAGTCGGAAGGAAAGAGAAAAGAGAAGAGGTTGACCAGCAATAAGGTGGATGAACTTAGTTAACAAAGGCAATGACTGCTCCGTTGGGAGACTTGAAAGAACAAGTTAGGAATAAATTGTTATGGAAAACATCTATCTATGTGGTGCCTAGGACTCAAAATGATTTGATGATACATCGATCAGTCAATTGATGGAGGCCCTGAACATGCTTGTACTTTTATATCGTTTATTTTTACATTTCTAACATGCATGATGAAAATAATTTTTAAACTTTTTCTATTTTAAATAGAGACTGAACCAAAAGAAAGTTAGAAAAAATACAACCCCAGACAAACTAAAAAAAGAGAAAAAAGAAAAACATTCCTTATAAATATTTGTAATAGCCATTGGACTTCTAATAAATATACCACTATCATATATATTAAATAGATCTATCATAATAACAAATATTGCAGCATCTTCTGATTAGTAAAAATACTGCTTTTTCCAATCATATAGATTATGTATTTCTGACAAACATTGCTTAACATTTTAAATAATATCACTTTTCCAATTTCTCAATATGATTCTTCTAGCTCCTCCATTTAATACACCCACAATTCCAGATGTAAAAATTCCAATATTTTGGTAAATAGTTCAACTTCATATTAATATCCTTAACATTTAGAGATGTTCCTATAAATTTGCTTATACATATTAACACATTATTTCAAAAAGATATCAATTTATCCCATGACCATATCATATGGGTCGGTAAACCCGCAAACATTTTATACTGTACTTCCAAAACAGAAAATCTGATGTCCATTTTTAAAAATATATTCTTTGGAAACTCCAGTTCACCTTAAATAAATTTTAATGATCTGTACATACCACTTTAGCAATCAATTTATTGATGGAATAATTTGACACTTGGAGGAATAGAAGATTTTAATATCTATTGTTTAATACAATGTTAAGGCCCCAAGGATACTTTATAGTAAAAGGCAGGTTGATGTTAAGGCTCTCTGTGCTGCATAATCACCTAAATAATCGTGTGGTTGCTATAAGTCATGGGATGGTAGGTCTATTGTTAGTTATTTGCACCCCCAGATACTTAATACTGTTGACCATCTCTATAGCTGCATCCTTGATACAGAGTGGAGTATGACTATGCCGGCTCTTTCTAAAATCTACAGTGATCTCCTTTGTTTTATCAACATTTAGAACCAGGTTACTTTTATTGCACCAGTCCACCAGAGCTTTCACCTCTTACCTATAAGCATCTTCATTGTCATCCTGAATAAGACCCACCACTGCCGTGTCGTCTGCATACTTCACAATATGATTCGTAGCAGATTTGGCATAGCAGTCGTCGGTCATCAAGGTGAACAGTAGCAGATTCAGGACACAGCCCTGTGGAGAACTTATACTCAAGGAGATGGAATTAGAAACTTTCTTTCCAACTTGCACAACGTGGCGCCTATCAATAAGGAAATCAAATATCCAATTACATAAAGGAGTATTAAAACCTAATTGGCCCAGTTTGTTCACCAGATGCTGCGGGATGATTGTGTTGAATGCTGAACTAAAATCCACAAACAGCATTCACACATGAGTATTCTTCCCCTCCAGGTGCGCCAAGCTAAGATGAAGCACACAGGAAAGTGCATCTTCTACAGAGCGGTTCTTCGGACAGGCAAACTGTAATGAGTCAAATGTAAGGGGAAGGCATGAAACCATGTAACCCTTAACCAATCTCTCAAAACACTTCATAATGGAAGTGAGTGCATCTGGACAGTAATCATTAAGGCATGTGATTTTAGTTTTTTGGGGCACTGGTACAATGATTGCAGCCTGATGCAACGAGAGATTGAAGATGTCCATGAGAACAGTGGCCAGCTGGTCAGCAAACTCCCTAAGTATTCACCCAGGGATATTATCAAGGCCCGCAGCTTTCTTACTGTTGACTTTCCATAGGACCTTCTGAACAGCAGTTGTAAAACAGTAATAGAATAGTACAATTTTATAAAAGAAAATAAGGGAGAACACTGACTCTTGTTAACATGCATGTGTCTGCAGACATTCCAAAAACAACAGATATACTACAACACTAACATGTTCACAGAGATGCTGGAGCCATGTACTTAGTTTTAAGACATTTACTGGATTGCCAATATGTGGCAATAGTTTGCCACATGATCAACAGAAATCAAGTATTACAGTATGCAGAAATGAGAATCTGGTCCATTTTAATGGGGTCAATCCATTCCCATCCACAAATGCATTAGGTTTCAATAAAATCAAATTACAAAAACTTTACCAACTTTTTTTTAACAGAACAGATTTCAATGCTTAAATGTAAACATTTTCTAAACTAAATAAACATATAGTATACAAATATTCCTTTCAGATTTACCTGCTGTAATTTAAGGATCTCAACACACAGAAGCCTTTGCACCTCTACTAAGAAATGCAAGCAGGTGGACAACTGGTTTGTAAGCTTAGTACTACTCACAATTCAAGCCTGAATCTTATGCCTGAAGTAAAATTTTAAAAGATATTGCAGCTTGAGTCTCTAGTCAACACTTACAGTTTGAGAACTCTGTGTAAAGAAATAACTAATCTCTGCAGTGGGGTCTTAAATTCTAAATAAATAAGGGTTTGATCTTAAGCTAGAAAATTTTCTTTCCCTTACTTGAATAAATTTCAGAGTCCTTGAAATGTCATAATAATCATATTTTTGTTCAGAATAATTCACAGATGGATAAAGGAGGCAAGACATATCATCTTCTATGATGGCACTCAGTAATAAATTACTGGCAGTATTGAAATAATCTGCTGAGTCTAATTTATATTTATTGACCCAATTCTTTGCCACATCTACAAAAGAATGGGAAACACCATGAGAATTCGCCCACTTAGTAGATTGTATAGCACTGTGTGTGAGTATATGTGAACATGTCTGTAAAAACATTTTTTCAAATGTTATTTCTATGTCATTGTTTAGTTTGGTGGAAAGATGTTATTGCATGTTGGCAACTAATTTTTTACAATGATACAATTGTACAAAATCACCACGGAGACTACTATGAGCCCTCCATAAATCACTGAAATGAAAAACTAAACCCATTAAGAGTGGCAACTGATAAATTACCACTACATTAAGTGAGACCAATGTTGCCAAGGAATTTCACAGAATTCTGGATCTTTAAGTTTCCTGAAAGGTTTTATTCAAAATAATATTAGGTTGCACTAGGAAGATAATTTGTGTAGCATGATTTACTACATTATGCCAGAGGCAATTATTTTTCCTTTACTGACTGTTTACTTGATAATTCATTTACAGATACATAGTTCACTTGAACAGAATTTCTGTTGGGGAGAAAACTGTCAACCCTGGATAATATAGCTTGCTGACTTCAATGGCAAGTGAACGTAATATCATCAGAGAACATTGCTTAATGGATGGGACATAAAATAAATTTGCTCTATCAGACTTTGAGAGAGATAGAAATGAGGTGAGAGAAATGATCCCTCAGACCACCTCTCTCCCCTCATTTAATGAAAAGCAGCCATCAAACTTCCTACCCACTAATAGCCTAACCCTTTATGAACCTCACTAGCTCTCTTTGAAAACCATCCAAATTGGCTATTGTTACCACCAGCCTCATTGCCAACTATTCTTGCCAGACAAGCTCATAACCCAGATGCTCATTTTTGGACATGGAATTTACTCTTGCAAGAGAGGCAAATAATTTCCAATTAAAGTTATAATTTGCAGGAGAAAGGCAACAAAATGGCATAGAGGTAGTAACATTGGTTACAAGTGTGGTCTATTCTCTAGAACAGGAAAAATTAGCTAAAAGCTGTGCGTTTCGATTTGATCCTTTTTTCTCTGGCAATGAAGGGAAGAGCTGGATTAAGAACAATTAGCAAATTAATATAACAACATAAAATCACTGAAGTACCACTGCAGTTCCTCCAGGCAATTAACTGACAACTTCGGGCAATAAAAGTTCCTCATATGCAATTGCCAAGGTGAACACTCTTCACTTATTTTTACAGCTCTCAGTAGTTACTGGCAGTGATAACCTCAGTGCACATAATGCCAGAATCCTCTTGCTTTCTTAGAGTAAACAATTCATTGGGCCTGCCCCACACAAAAGAATTTATGTGGGGCAGGCCCAATGTTAACTTGCTGTACTGCACTCCTCTCATCCTTTATCACAGTAAATCATTTACCACACATTCTAGTCTTGGTTTCCCTGTAGCAAGGCTACAGAGAACATAAGCCTGATCTAACACTGAACTAGATTCTTAAGAAGCCTTATTTGAACTTTGTTGTATTAAACATAATGGCTATTTTGTTTAACAAATTATTCCAATTGTTTCTGGCCCAAATGCCACCATGTACTTGAAAAATGTGTCTCTAAACATCTTAATATGTTTGTTTAACCATGGCTAATTAAATAAGCAACAGCTGACTGAGTTTATATTGCCCATTCTTTTTACCACATGGTTTAATTTTGGTAAATTTAGTGTGTTTTGTGAACTCAACCAGATTCTCTCAAGTCCTGAAATATACAGGAGCTAAAGAGTATATTGAACAGGTAAGTCATTTTGATAATTCATTCAACTGGCATCTAAATTAGTGTGGGGGCCAGTTCTATTTGTGTCTTTATTCACTTTGACAGTAAATAGCAAAAGTAGGCTAGGATTGGTTCTCACTTTGATGTAAGACCATTAAGGAATACCAAGGCACAAAATTGGCCTTGGAAGCACCCCCTCCCCTAAATCTCAAAAGGTACTAAGGGCCAACCACTTCCTTACTGCTGCCAATAAAACTACATGGGTAACAAAACACAAAGAATAAATCTCAACTGTAGACTATACCTCTGAAAACAAAACAATGTTAATTTACAACTGCATGGAGTATTTATACTGCTTCATTCTTGTCACTTTGCAGTTATCTGTTCTTGTGCATTGTTGTTTAGAGCAGGGGTCTCCAACCGGTACAAGGCCAGGGCTGCAGCATGCCAGCAACCAGTCTGCACAAACAAACAAAGCCCCATCCATGGGATGTAGGCAGCACACAAAACTATGCACTCTCCAGTCCGTGGAAAAACCTTTCTCCATGGAACCAGTCCCTGGTGCCCAAAGGATTTGGGATCTCTGGTTTAGAGGGAAAACAACTATGAAACTAATTTCTTGCTTCTTTCTCCTTTATTCTGCCTCCCTGTTCCTCAGCTATCTCCAAATTAAATTTACAATTGAAAATGAAGAGTTGTGACTGATAGATTGACCTGGTAAAGGAGTTTCTGGTAATTACGAAAGTGAAACTCAAATATCTCTGGGCATATCCAAATCTGGGTAGAAGCCATCTAAAGCCAGTCCTATGCTTTGTACTTTTTTCCTGGATAACACATTGTATTCATATTTGCATAAGAGAAACAGTACAAATGATTAATTGTTAGGTAAAGGAGGTTCAGAAAAGCCTCATTTTCTGATATCAAAGCTAAATCAGTGCTTTATATTTATACTACTAGTATATTCAGATTTAATAGTTTAATCTTTAAAGAAACAATTATAAAACTTGTCCATTTTCCTCAAAAAATCCACCTTATACTACCATTCTTAAACTAATGCAAATATTGCTGTAAAATACCTTAGTAACTTCCAGATAGTGGACTTCAACTCCCAGAATTCCCCAACTAGCATGTCTATTGCTGACAATTTTGAGAGTTGAAGTACACATATCTGGAAGTTGTCGAAGTTGGAAAACACTGTTCTAAAGCTATATCATGTTAGGTTTTGACAAAGCATATAATGTGAATACAAACTGTAAACCATAATTAAACTATCTACTAGTGAACTGCATGCAAATGCATGAATTGGAAAAACACAATGGATCTTAAGTTAAAACTAAAAAGGCTAGGTTCACGCAATCTAGTGAGGTCCCATCTCATATATGCTTTAGCCTCCTATTGTGCAAACCTTGATATATATTTTTTTTAGTTCAGGTGAAGCAAATGTTAACTCTGGCAACATAACACTTAATACTTGTGATAACGATAACCCCTCTTGCTGTGGTCGGTTAAGGCTGAAGATTTCAGTTAGGATATGATTCACAACGTTATCAGAGCGAGCATTACACTTTCCGGTGTTAGTTTTAAATTGGGTTTTGTTACTCCTAAGAAAAGTCAGTAATACTTTGTGCAGCCCTACATTATAAAGCACAAGAAAAAGGACCTAGTCAAAACAACCACAAAGGAACATTTATAACGCACCTCAAACATTTGCCACTGTACCATCGCTAAGACGAAAAAAAAATATGACTGTAGGTACCTTAGGAAAACACTTCTGAATTTCATGCCCCAGGTCATATGCTAATTAATCCGGAATAACTGACGCCCTGTAGTTCCCAATTTACAATATCTACCTTTAAACGATGACAGCAAGATTTTATCCCCAACGTTGCACTGCAAAGCTCTAAAGTGGATTATTGGGTTCTGGATTTCGGCAATCTCGCGTCTGGAAAGCTGAGGCTCGTCCTTCTCCCCGGTTCCCCCCTGCTGACCCTCCGGCTCCTCGGAGCACCTCTAGGCCTGCGGCACACTTTTGCTCAGCCGAGCAGGCGGCGCTTCAGAGCGCAAGCGTCGCCAGCAGCCTCGCATCCTCGCTCCGCATCCAGCCAAAGGCCCGAAGAAGACCCGCCGAGCTGACGGCGCCTCGTCCCCAAAGAAATAGATGAAATATTTCTTCCGGCTTCCTTGGGGCCGGGAAGAGCCAGAAGATCGTGGCTACTGCACGGCTCGTGCATCCCACCGCGTCAAGACCCGCCTTCGCGTGGATTCCCCGCCTCACCCGGCCACGGCACTCACCCCGCTTCTAGGGAACGGTGGCGACGGCCGCGCCCTTTCCACCCAGCCAGCTTTTCCACGGACTGTTCAGAAGAAAGTGGATCTGGCCTCGCCCACCTCTTGCATCGCTTTGGTTCTCCCCCGCCCGTGGCTCTTGGGCTGCCGGGCAGGCGAGAGCCAGAGACCCGCACTCCGAAAGGATGAAGTCAAAAAATCATAGACGCAAACCAGGTGAAAGCTATGGGTCTTCTTGCAGCGCCCTCTAGAGGTCGTGCTCTTCGTAGCCGCTGTATGTTGTGCAGGAAAATGGGGCGGCCGGGCGGGAGGGAACTGCTTCCTTTTCCCTTTCGCAAATGGGGCTCGAAAATGTACGTTCGTACATGTAGATCACACTACTATTGGTATATCCCATGGCAGGAGAAGTTTGGGGTTGGACTATGACCTACAAGATCCCTTCCAATTCTGTTATGTTAAGGTTATGCAAAGCGCAGAAAAAGGGTTTAAACATTCAAAAGGAAAACTTGCTAATTCTATACACCAATACCATTCGCTCTTTTTTTGGGGGGGGGTAGGGGTGCCTTCGGGTCAGTGTTGACTCCTGGAGTAGTCTCTGTACTCTGGAAGTGGTTTGCCATTGCCTCTCTCCTAGGGCTAAGAAAGGGTTTCCTGGTTTCTAGCCTGATGACTTACTCGTTACAGTACTTCAAGCACCACATCTCCCTATCTCTCTGAAAACCATTTTTGCTTCTATCACCTCCTATATTGCCTAGTTTCTCACCTTTCTCATTAACTCCATTCAGCTGTGCACTTTTGCAGTCTTCTCCCTTTTCTCCACTCATCCAGTCTTCCTTCATATATTGCTTTTGAGACGTGATTCTTAATTCATTATTTAAAATGTATTCAGTGTTGCTGGAATTCAGTTGAAGCCTGTTATTCCCCATAATCTCCAGGCATTGGGATAGGATATCAAGAGCATCGATTAATTTATCAGGGGTAAAGATGTATTGATACTTATGTCACCAAGACATATCGTGGTGGCAGATGAGCTTATCCAATAGTTCATGTCGTTGTTACGTAGAGAGAGTACTAGAGCTTCCAGGTAAGGAATGGTGAGGTAAGATGTCTCTGTAATGGGTAGAGATGATGATTATAGATAAGACCAAAGGAATGGCATGTAGATTGGTAGCATAGAATATTTCTGGACAAGGAGAAGATGGGAGATTGCCCACTTGCACTCTGGCTATTCCTTGCAAGGACAGGGCAGCAGTTTCCTATGGGTTTTGAGTGTCAGGAGACAAAGGGAATCATCATGCTCTCAACCATGGTGGAGACTTTTAAGGACACTGAGTTTATTAATTCATTTTCTAAACACTTTTGAAAATTACCTATTCAAGTATCTTAAGGATATTAGAGATCTTCTAAACAAGTTTGAAAATGACTACCTTCATTTTGAATAAAAGAAAAATTAACTATAATTAAGAGCATAAAGAATTAGAAATAAATGAAAAAGGGTAAACAAAAATCTGATTTAAGAAAGTTATAAATGAATTAAAAGATCGGACAAACTTGGAATAAAAGAATATTAGGACTTTTGCTGTTAGATTTTGGAAATAATTATATAAATAAACAGCACATTCATAGGAACTAACTTGTTGAGTATATCCTAAATCAAAACAGAAATCTGAATCTTTATGGTGTTAGTAATTGAATCTATTATAGGGGGCCTAGAAATTTCAGGCAAAAAGAAAAAAAAAGAGAAAATAATGAAAAGCCTGTCTCATCTTTGGTCAGCAGTGGATCTTACAAATGACAGAAAATGTTATGACATTTGAAATACTTCAGGAGATATTTGAAGTATGGGGTCAAAAACTAGCAGCAATGCTTTTAGGAATAGACTATGTCTAAAATATATTAAAGAAGACATTACTGATGTGAAAGAGAACATCTTGGAAGATTTACAACATTAAAGAGATTGCACTCTGATTCAGGTAAGTCTGAGGATACAGATAACGCCCCCAGTGGCTTTAACATTCTCAGAGAACTAACGATAGATCAGAGTGCAAAGATCGGCTCACTGTGAAGTATATAAATCCTTCTACTTCCTACGAGAACTGAAGAAGCTTCTTAAATGAGAAATGAAATGTTTTCAAAGAAAAAAACCAAGAAAGTCCAGCTGCCTTTTGGAAAAAAGCATTTTTGGGACCCTGATGCAGAAATATCAGGATATAAAAAATTTGCAAACATACTAGAAAATATAAAAAATATGAACTATAAGACAGAAAACCTTAAAGTGGAATTACAAATAACAAGCCAAGAGATTGACCTGGATAACAACATTTTACTGGACTTACAAAAGAAATTGGATAAAGTCTTGTAGAAATCTTTAAGGTGAGATAAAGAAAAATTGAAAAGAGATCAAATCCTATGACAGTATCTGAATGAACTAAAGATTAAGATTGTTAGAAGCAAAAAGAAATAGGTGGTTTGTTTGAATTAAGATTAAAATAAGACATGTATGTATAAATCTAGGATAACTTTATGGATTTTTGCTGACACCAAGACTGAAATATTAATGGATTTGCTTATGAATAAGGGGTGGGTTATGAGGAGACATATTTGCATGTAATGTTATGGAGAGGTGATAAATTATTAAGTTTGTTCATGCCTGTTGTGATAAGATCAGAAGCTACTTTAAATATTTCTTCTTTTTTTCATTTTTCAGTACATCTTTTCTTCTTTTATTTACTTTCACCTATTTTTTGAGTTTAGTTTGTATTTTATTGATTGCCTATTTATTGTATTTTATTTTCTTATTAAATTTCAATAAAAATAGTTTTTTTAAAAAAAGAGTGGGAGGGTATTTGACCTCTGTGAAACCTCATAGAGCAGGGGTCAAGCTATATGGCTGCATATATTGCCAAGGCAAATCTGGGCAGCAAATGCAGTTAAGAATATCAGTAGAATAATAATAAAAGATAGAAATAGAAACATATCATAAACAAGCAATAATTAAAAAAAAAGAATGATAACCATTAGGAAAGACCTAAACAGGTAGTCCTTGATTTATGACCATTCATTTAGCAACCACTCAAAGTTACGATGTGCTGAAAAAACTCCGCTCTTTGCACTTACAAGGAGTACTTTTTTTGCCATTTTACAGTAAAATAGCCCCATTTGAAACGGTGGGTTTGCACTTACAGCTATGATGTTAGCTCAATGATTGCAGATTAGCTTAATGACTGCAGTGACAGTGATTTGCTTAAAAAGTTGGAAGTCCACACATCTTAAAGTTGCCAAGATTGAAAAACATTGTAACCACTCCACATACACAATGCTAAAACCTTGAATGGGATGTAAAACTGTTCCAGGAGGAGAATAGCAATAGAATATACCAATTAGCTTCTCCATACCCATCTTTAATGCTAATAATAAAGAAAGTCTTGCAAGTGACTAAATCAGGGGTAGGCAAACTTGGCTCTTTTATGACTTGTGGACTTCAACTCTCAGAATTCCTGAGCTAGCTATGCTGGCTCAGGAATTCTGGGAGTTGAAGTCCACGAGTCATTAAAGAGCCAAGAGCCTACCCCTGGACTAGATAATGCTTGGTGTAGTGATTAAGATGTTGGTCTAGAAACCAGAAGACAGAGTTCTAGGCCCACCTTAGGCATGAAAGCTGACTTGTATGACTTTGGGCCAGTCACTTGCTCTCAGCCCAACCCACTTCACAGGGTTGTTGTGGGGAAAATAGGAGGAGTGACGAGTATTATGTATGTTAACTACTCTGAGTTAGGTGGGCTAGAAATGTAATAAATTAAATAAAATTGTATAAAATGGGATATAATACTTACCTGTAAGCAGCTGGAAAAAAAACATTTAAAAATCATGCATAATTGCCTGAATTTGGGAGCTGACATTGCACACGTTTTTGACTATATCTGACAGTTTGCATTTGACAGCTCTGCAACGCCTCTTCTCCAAAAAAGAAAAAAGAACAGTAAAGGACTGTAGATGGTAGATCTTAATTCTGTGACAAACAATTTCTATAAGAGAACAAAACATCTACAGCATACAATAATAAAAAGAAATGGACATCTTATATCGGAATGGGTCTCCTTGGAAGATAATTTGACTACAATTTGATGGAATACTATTTTTTCTTTCAGTTAATGTACCCAAATAATCATAGGGAAGTTGTTGAATATAATTATGACTAATGATATTGGAATCTGGGTATAAACCTCTTAGTATTTCTATGGAACTTTTTTTGTTCTGAAAAATGAATGAGTGTGATACAGTTAGCGTTTGACATATTCTGTATTTTCTATCTAATAAAAGTTGTGCCAATTCAAAGGTAGAAAGAAGCTTCAAATCATGCAAGGGCCTGGACAGAGCATCCATCAGGAGTTCCCTAGATCAAACACATCTTTATTATGTGCCATCTGACAGCAGAAATGTTTCTTCAGGTATGCTGGCTGCCATATAATTCTTGTGACACTAATCTGACTGCATACATAAACCTTTTTGGAATACAGAAGTCTATGACAAAAGATTCTTGTGGCACACTGGAGCTAACATGGCTTAAAGTTTAATTAAAATCATAACTTAAAATGTCATGGGCTCTTCTGCCCACGATGCAGATACATGAGAATTTTGTAACCGAATAAAAGTAACAAAAACTTATTCGAGTTGAGTTGCACTAAACTCAATGATATCATGGACTCATTCATGCAATTTTTGTGGTGAAAGGATGGAAGTCACTGCTTTCTTTGGGGAGGTGCCTGTAGCCATGGAATTCTGTGGTCATCTCCTATCTATGTACTTATTAGGCTCATCAGTGCTTAGCTTCTGAGTCCAAACAAAGGTTCTTCCCATTGCCATTATGATAGTAGCAATGATGGCTGCAAGAGAACCAGAGAATTTCAGAGTTCTGGACTTGCAGTTGTAATTGCTAGTGTAATTGCACAATGATATAGATATTCCTCGACTTATGACCACAATTGACCCCAAAATTTCTGTTGCTATGACAGTTGAGTTTTGCTTCATTTTATGATCTTTCTTGCCACAGTTGTTAAGTCAATCATTGCAGTTTTAATAACATTAAGTGAATCCAACTTTCCCTTGACTTTGCTTGTCTGAAGTCGCAAAAGTAGATCACATGACTCCGGGACACTGCAAGTGTCATAAATTCGAGGCAGTTGCCAAGTGTCTGAATTTTGATCACATCGCCATGGGGATCCTGCAGCAGTCATAAGTGTGGACAATGGTCATACAGTGCCACTGTAACTTCAAACAGTCATTAAATGAATTGTAAGTTGAGGACTACCTGCACTGCAAATGGCAGACTCTTTGGATTCAAAAGCTAAGCAATGAACCTAATACATAACTAGCATTATCCTACATCTTCTAGTGCAGTGGTTCTCAACCTGTGGGTCGGGACCCCATCTGGGGTCGAACAACCATTTCACGGGGGTCGCCAAACAACGCAGTCCGCCATTTTTTTCCCCTTTTCCTTAGCTGTGCTACTCCCTTTTATTCTATTGGTTTTGAAAGCCAAATAGACTCTCTTGAATTGTCCAGGCTGTCTCTGCCCTGCTGAGCCCGCCAAAAGTCCCATTCTGCAAACGGTGATGCACCAGTTGAGTAGTCCTTGACTTACAACCGGTTGAGTAGTCCTCGACTTACAACTGGTTGGGGGTCGCGGCATTAAAAAGGTTGAGAACCACTGTTCTAGTGAGAATTGCTATATTATTTAAGATAAATAGCCTGTGGTTGATGTTACAGTGGCCTGTTAAAATCTAAGTGCAAAGTGCCTGAATACTGTTGATTGTATTTGCAATGTAGGTGCTAAAAGAAAGGAGTATTTAGAGTACTTTAGGTTTAAGTACACTGAGGTAATATATCCTGGTCATTAAGAGCTCTCAAATATTAGCCTGAAAATTTAAGGTCTTGCTACTCTGAGGATCTATTTTGTTCACAACAATATTAGCTTTGGTGCAATTACCAAAAAAAGAGCTAATGAAAATAATATTGAGTGGACCTGGATAGGATTTGTTAAAAAAAATCATTGCCGCAGATTGAAACTAATTAATTTGGAGATAAAGTAGGGGGTCAAAAGTATTTGTGGAACTGAATTATACTTGAAAATTTTTAAAAAAACTTAATCCAGATAAAATGGACATATTCATGGAGAGAGAAGTGAACTTGATAGGGCTGCATACCCACAAAATGTGAGTTTGTACCTCCAGAATTCAGCACTCTTTTGGCATATTGAGATAGTGGGTTTAATGTGTATGTCTAAATGTCATGAAGACTGCCAGTATAAATGGCACGAAGACTGCCAGTATAAATTTGCTCTGTCCTATAGATCAGAGGTCCCCAACCTTTTGAGCACCAGGGACTGGTTCTGTGGAAAGATGGTTTTCCACAGACCGGAGGGTACATGGTTTTGTGTGCTGCCTGCATCCCGTGGATGGAGCTTTGCTTGTTTGTATGCACTGGTTGCTGGCATGCTGCGGCCCGGAGTTAGTCTACAGATCAGAGATTGGGGACCCCTGCTATAGATGGTCTCTTCTGCGCTGTGGGAATAAAGAAAGCAAAAGCTGCTGTTCTAATTGTTTACTGGAATGGGGCACTCAGAATGCAGCTATTGTTGTCTGCCTTGCCCCTCCCAACAACTGTGCACTCCCACCAGCCAGCCATGCAAGAAAAACCAGTCAGTTGCTATCCTTCACAAAGTGTGTGGGGCAGGCTATGTTAACACTCCATACTGCTTTGTGTTCTCGCTTGTTTTTTTTTTTTTTTTTTTACTTGTATTGACTGCACTTTGATGTTACAGTCTGATAGTTTGTGAGCTGCCCTAAGAGAACATTCCTTGAAAAGTGCCACACATTCATACAAGTATGCATATGCTCATATGTACACACACAAAGACACACAAAGACACACTATCCCAGAAGATATTGACATTTTGTAGTAGAACACATGCCATACATCTGAAGATTCTTGGTTCAGTCTGTAGTACTTCTACTTAAAAGAGTCAAATAATGTAAGACATGACATTTCTCTTTAAGATTCTGGACAAGTTGCTAGTGTTAGGCTTCATTATTAGCGTTTTAAAAGATGGCATTAATACTTTTAACATGGCAGTCTAGTCTTTTTTTTTAATCTTCAAGAGAGCAGTTTTTTTTATTTCTTAGCCAAGACCATGCCTTTTGCTATGCAAGAACTTGTCTTTTCAGCACTAAACAATAGAAAGTGTATTCTGAAAGTCCTTGAATACACTTGCAAGTTTAAGGAAGATATAAACTCAGCTGGGAAAGAGTAATGTAACCCATAATTTTACCCCTTGCCACATTTTCTATTATTCAAGTCTCACACCTATTCAATGTCTTTCTTTGCTTGATTCACTTGTTTTCTAATGTATCACATAAACTGAATATATGAATCATTTATTTCTGTGCCCTATAAAAAGAATTGACTCCCCTAATAAATGCTCTTTGCTTTGCCTGAATTGCTGCACTTGGTGACTCCTATTTTTAGGTGGACAGAGAAGCCCCTTTTCAAAAGTAAAATTATCTTTCTCAAATTCAGGGATCAAGTTCTTATCAGCATAATGCCAAACTCGGGGTGCCTGATCTTCATGGCAACAATGGTAGACAATAAACAGTAATATTTAATAAACATTAAATAGTTTATTGAGCTGCATTGTAGGTATCCTGTTATTTCCTACATAAGTTCATTATTCAAATGTTACTACATTACCAAGAGATTGATAATTTATGTCCAAGATACTGTACAGCTATTTATGTGGAAGCCTTCCTTATTATAGAATTTCTGGGTATTAGATTAAGATTTCTATAATCTCTCAACAGTATTGTTTTCAGGGAAATTGAGGTTATGAGAAACACTAACTAGACTAAGGAAGTGTAATGGGAGGGACAGACATCTGATCCAAGATGCTGAAATCCAGGAAGTCCCTATTCTTAGACCCACCCCTTAGAGAACTTCAGAAGTCCCAGAGGATTCTGAGCCGTTGGGTTTTCAGTTTGAAGGCTGGCTTCTAATCCACTGAGTGGAGCAACCATCTTGCCCCATAAGTGGCTCACAATGGAAACTCTTACAGCCTCCTCTGTTTCTAACAGGGCCTGGGTGCTTCAGTTCTTCCGAAACTTATTTGGAGGCAGCAGACATGTAACACAAGAAGGGGAGAAACCTATGACAGGTGTGAAAGAGAAAGATGACATCAAAAGTGAGCTCTTGGACTGTGCCCTGTCTGACACTGAAGTAGCTATCCCAAGCCAAGAGCCTTGCATTCCCAAGACGACTTCTAGTGAGATCTGCCCGGTGGTAATGAGTGGCCAAACTGAGGAGCTCCCCCTGATGAAGGAAGCAACTCTTGGAGACACTGCCCTTAAGGATGAGAACGAACTCTCTGCTTTATTTAACTCAACCAGGATGGACCTAGGAGACACAGACCCCTTTGCTGAATCTGTGCTAAGTAACAATGAAAGAGTTTCTGTTGCAGGAGAGAAGGACCATAATTCTAGTGACAGAGGAACACTAGAAAAGTAAGTATTGTACCACCAAAGTTGTGGCTACACAGCACAATGTGAATCAATATTTCTGACTGGAGTCATGTTAAGAAGACTACTTCTTTTCATGGTGTACAATCTGAGACTGGCTCTTTCCCATGTTATCAGGGACAAATAAAAGTGATTCTCTTTTTGGACTGACTGGCAGAATGCGAACAGAGAATTATATAATAATCCAACAAGGATTTCTATTAATTAGCTTTTAGTTGTATTACATTAGGAACTAATTAGAGGTCAAGATGTTCTTATGATTATATGGCTACGATTGGCTAAGACAATAGGTTTCCTTATTAACTTTCCTTTACATAGAATACCATACACTGAATTGATGGCATAAGGGACTTCAGCTAACTAAAGCTTATCACACGAAGTTCTGTACTACCCAGAAAGACATGCAGGGAAGGAAGAGCAGCGTTGGCAGCCTGCCAATGTTTCACAGTACCCACTTGTTATCATTTCGACTTGCTGCTAGGAGTGAAGGATGCATAATCAGAGAAAAATCCAGCAGAACTAGAATTAACACAGGGGGACACATGTAGGCTCTAAAATAGGATATAAATCTAATGAATACATGTTAATAACAACTTTGTTCGTGGGAGAGCTGCCCTTACTGAGAAATGTGGAGAAGTGAGTGTTGGCATTTATTAGAGTTCATGAGGCAACAATGCATAAATTTGCTTGTCTCTGAGCTGCTGCTCTTAGATGAGCTTTTTCAGAGAAAGGCCCACAGTCTTTTTCATCCTATGGTGCCTCAGTTCATGGAAGACTGGTAAAGCCCAAGAGCCTTTAGGGCAAAAACAGAGAATGTTTCTTTCACAGAGGAAAGGCCCTTGGAACACACTCCAAAGTATGTTACACTACTCTAAAGTGGTGGTGGTGGTGGGGGGGAATCCTAAGAATTTTTCTGAAATCATATGTGGCAATGTTAATTTGGCTTCCACAAACTAAATCTTTTGTGGGGCTTTTGTGTGAGAATTAGTAGTAATTAGGAATTAGTAGAATTAGTTATCCTATGAAGGTAGCTTTGAGTATTATAGTTTACATAAACAATGACACCAGGACTAATGCTTTATTTAAGCTTTTCTGAGTGAAGAGTTTTCCACACCCTATAATTATAATCATGGGGACTGAGTCACTGGGCTGATTAACAAAAAAGATTAATAGTGTAATTTATACAGTCAAACAAGGGGTATAGCTTCTGGATATGTGTGATCCCAGCAAATCCAATTCATTCTCCTTCTCTACTCCATGTAACACAGCTATCAATAGTGCTGGTTTTATTCACTCTGGCAATATATATGTCTATGTTTATGCAATATACCAAATAAAGGATTTGGGCATAGGTATTGAGGTGGGAATGATAGGTAAAGAATCAGTGCAGGGAACTTATTCTTCAGAAGAATGCTCATAAAAATCATGTTTTGGATTTAGGCATGAAATCACCCCAGTTATATATGCAGATGATGGAGTTTCAATGGCTGCTGGATCCATGGCAGATATTAAGGACTGTAATGTTGAAGATGAAATGGAGCATCTGCTGAAAGGTGAAAAATAAAGGCGGGTTCTTCTGATCTATTTTTCAAATAGCCATTGTTAATCCTATTGCTTGCATCTTCTTTGATAAATGAATACTGAAAGTTTAAAGTTGTATTTAAAGAAACCAGGAAACATGTTATACTATATTGTGCTAGAAGGGCCATTAGAATGAGTATAACAATGAACTATTGGGAGCACTACATTCCATTTGACTATTGGCTGGTTCTCTTAGGAAGAAGAGAATCCTATTCTTATATAATTTGAAGAAGGATATACTATATTTTCCTAGAATTGGAAAGAATCTTGTAGCACTTTTTCTCATTGATACATTTAATTAAAAAGTATATGTTTTTAGATCCTCACCAAAGTTTATGCCTTTTAATAAAATGTGTTAGTCGGAACAGGTGCTACCAACTTGTGATTTTTGGTTACTGTGGACCAACATGGCTGTTCTATAATGTCTATTTTACTTCCTAGATAATATTCCCAACCGGGGCCCTTTTTTCCCACTTCTTAATTGAATGGAGCTGGAGTGAAGGGAGAGGGTGAGGGAGTGGCAGGTGGGTTTGGTCAATTGTTGGAGAATAGAAAGACATTCCCACTTCAAGTGCAAATGTCCTGCTGCTCTGGGCAAGTGAGCTGTTTGTTACTTTAAATGGCTTCTGATTTTTTGCCTGTTTATTTTGCACCACACAAGTAAGTAGAGACAAATACCGTCTCTACTTTTTACTTTTGTGATCTGGGGTAAGCAAAAAGGCAGAACCCAGGAAAACATTGGCTGTTGAAAGCTGTTGTGATGTGATTTTTCTTTTCTGTAGAAGATGTACAAAAAGAACCTCCAAAATCGGAGCTTTCTCCCTGGAACAGACTCATTAATATGTACAAGCAGCGCCGGAGGCTTCCTGCTTCTAAAGTGGTAATTATAAGATAGTAAGAAGCTTTTAGAAAGGCCTTTTCTTTCTTTCTTTCTTTCTTTCTTTTTTTCTTCGCTTGTCTTTCTGCTGCTGTTGCAAGAGGCATGTTTTTTTATGTTAGCAATATAATTCCATTCAGGAAAGTAAGAAAGCCATAGCAAAAGCAAAACCATGGAGGCTTACACACATTACATGATTCCAAGAAAATCGTTTGAGAATGTAAGAGATGTATTCCATTAGATCAAAAAGGTAGAATTTTAGACTTGGAAAGTATTTTAGAGATCATCTGGTTTGACCGTTCTCAGTGCGGAGTTTTCTATTGGCTGAAACATGGAACTTGACATCCAGCCTCTGTTTGAAGACCTCCTTAAAGAAATAATATTTTTTCTTAGGTTCTCCAAGAAATATACAGATTTAAGGAGATGCTGATAGATCATCTTACCCTGTCATCACCACCTTTACTCAAAGTATTTTCCTGGAATCAGAAACACTATGTTGTTGTATTATTATTACTAGTAGTAGCAATTCTATTACTCCCACTAGAACTCATACTGTTAGTAGTTCTATTATTTCTACTCTGATGTGCAGTAAAAGGAAAGATCTTCAGGAAGAGCACAGTGAGGAGTATGAGTCTGTGTGTCTGTGCTCTTGAATGCAAAAATGTATGCATTTATTTTGGCATATGTATATGAATATGTTAGAATTTGACAGGGAAGACCCAGGTTCAAGTCCTCAGTCAACTACAGAGCTCACTGCATGATTTAAACTCAAGTGCTCTCTCTCTCTCTCTCTCTCAATGTTATATAGGTTGGTGGTTGGGGGGGGAATGAGGGAGCCCCTCTTCCCCGCTGCTTTGAGCTCTAGAGAAATGGCAGGATATAAATGCAGTAATAATCTAAACATTTTTGAAAGGGTACATTAGTCTTCTCCAGAATGTCTTTTGTTTAAGAAAGTCCATTGGGGGTGATCTGAGATTATATAAAAATTCATCCCAAAGAAAAAGCAGTTATAGTTGTAATACTTTTGTGCTTAGTTAGTAACATGGTAAAGCAGAATTCTTTGAGGTATTTAGATTCTTAAAATATAGAAAGGCTAAGCAAATGATGAAGGATTTGCATTCTATATTCCCAGCTCCATAGCTACTGCTATGCTTCAGCTCTCATTCTTTCTACAAATTGCTCAAAGAAAAAAAATGATCACCTCAAAACTCTATGAGGTGTGTGAGACATTTTTAATGAAAAAAATAACATAATGGAATCATCCAGAAATTTAACCTTCAGGGATTTGTTTTCTGATGGAAACCTTTATAGTTGTGGTTTTTTGACAAAGAGGGTGGCACTCAATACTTTGGAAAGAGCAAATCTTCTTTTAACATGCATTTGCAATACATTCACAGCTGAATCATACCTTCAAACATTCCCTAATTGTCCTACAAAGCTGAATGAGATGAAATGGTTTTTGCCATAGTTAAGAGTACCTGTTTCTGTCAGCAAAAAATATAGATCTGTAGTAGAAAGGCAGACGTACTGGTTTTTAAAAGTCTGTCAAGCTGCATGATATATCCAAGGCGGGAAAAGTATTCTCCTAAACATCTATTTCTAACTAAACGCTGCTGGTAAAGTCACTGTTTAAGTTTTAGTTTTGTCTTCAGGGTTTTTTTTTTTTTTTGCATTGATTCTTCACTTTCTTTACTTTTTAGAAGTTTCCCATTAAGTCTTTGTGTGGTTGATTAGATATAACCTGATTTACAAGCTATTAGCGTGCAACACTATCAGCGTGCAACACAGTGGGAAAAACAAAAAGGCCATAATGAAAAACATCATGGCTGCCATGTTTTGTAGCGTAACCATTTTGTAATGTTTCGGGCTGATACAATTTTGGAACACTATGAGAAAAACAAAATAGTCAACTTTAGGAGGGTGCCCATGCTATTTTTGACAGAGCTTTTGCATTGCTTTGCATTCATAAGGTGACCAACTTTTTTACAATGAAAAGGAGGACACAAATAAATTGAAGAAAAAATATCGTAAATAAAAGAAACATTTTATTCATTGCAACAATAATACAGAATACACTATAATATGATAAATGCATAATAAAAAACATTGGTAACAATAACATTTTATATTGTAATTATGCTTACATGATGTGCCCCGCCCGCAGCCATTCCGCCAGCACTGCTGCCCCGCCGTGTAGAGCAGGCCCCACGGCTCCCAAAGCACCAGTTGTGCTAGCTCCAGCTCTGCCCTGGGGGACAGCCTGCCATTGACACACTCTGCCTGCAGCCGCCCCGCCAGCACCACCACCCACCCTGCGCAGCCCCATGTAGAGCAGGCCCCACGGCTCCCATAGCATGGGGCAGCCGGCCACTGCTGCCCCTCACACTCCCACCCACAGCAGCCCCACAGCCCCTGCCTCACACCCCCCCTCACACCCCCACCCCCACGCGCCGCGCCCGCAGCCATTGCCCTAGCAGGGTTGAAGATCAAGAAAAAGTTACCGTGGTGTCGTTGCTCCAGTCTCCTCCAGGTATCTTTGGGACTAACTAGGAGATGGTGTAGTTGGGTAGCAGGGAGGGGTGCAAAGTTACTGCAAATTCGCCTTTGCTGCAGACAACTTACATGTGCAAAGTTTGCCGACCAGGTGTTTTGGCGCGCTCAGCAGCAATTCCTATTGGCTTTCGAAAGCCAATAGGGGGAGTAGCACAGCTCATGCAAAAGTAGAAAAAAAACCATCAATAAAGGTGCCGGAATGCCGTTCTGAGCATTCTATGAGGGAAAAAAAAGCCCTGCAGATTAGTCTTCAAATTTCAAAAAGGAGGACATATAGGAGGACACTTTTTGAGGGAGGACAGAATATCTTGTGGGACATAATAATTCTGCTGTAAATTTGAATGTTCTGCTAGGTTTATAGCCTCTGTTGTTGATTTTGATATAAATTTACATAAAGTACACCTGAAAGCTCTATTTTTGCTCTGTGAAAGAAAAGCAGTAAATGTGGGTTGTTAAAGGAGCTCTAAAAGATTGTAAGCTACTTGAAAGGGACCCTACTGCAACACCTACTTGTACCATCAAATGATCCAGTAGTAGAACTATTCTGTTGGTAAATCAGTAGACATTCTCAAAATCACTGCAGTTGTTAAGTTAGTAACACTGTTAACTGAATCTGGCTTCCCTGTTGACTTTGCTTGTCAGAAAGTTGCAAAATATGATCACATGTTCATGGTACACTGCAACCATCATAAATTCATGCCAGGTTCAAGCATATGAATTTTGATCACCTGATCACGGGATGCTGCAATGGTCATATGTATAAGTCACTCTTTTCAGTGCCGTTGTAACTTTGAATGGCTACTGAATGAATGATTGTAAGTTGAGAACTACCTATGCCAGCTTGGACCTGGTACAAAGCTATCCTTTCCATTGCCTTCAATATGAAGAAAAGATATTTAAAATGCCTTCTGTTTCATTGAGAACACTTATGGCAAACTATCATCTCAGTGCCATGTTAAGCACATTTAGTTTTAGTTGTTTATCTATTTATTGGCTTTATTTCTTCAATTTATATGACCACCCACCAGGCAAATAACTCTTATTTACAGATTCCACTCTGCCTACCCATCCAGGTAAGTCTGCAAGGCGCTTAAGGGGCATGATTTTCACATAATGCATGTACATGTAATATGTATGCTCTTAGGTCTTTTTGATAATATGATTTCTGGTAACATCAAATAACAAAATGTAGTGCAGTCATATAATCCTATATAAAACCAAACACTGAAAATTATATGAAATGAAAAATGGATTCTTAGGTAGTTATGAATATTAATTGAATATAATTAAACATTTTTTATTAATAGAAAATAACTTGCACCATATAGAGCCAAAAACATTAGTTTATTGATTTAGTTACCGGTAACATAGTGAGCAATTTCAAATAATTCCTTATCTGGGTTTTGCCTGTACTGTTTTGTAGTCCAATATTCAGGCTATTCCAACACAGCCAGTAACTGAAGACGAAGCCACACTGGATCTTATGATATATGGAATTGCAAATCCCAATGCTGCAACATCAAGTTCCCCTAAGGCTTTTTGCATCCTAGAGTAAGTATATTTTGAGGGGTACCTCTCATTCTTTTGAGACTTGGAGAGGTGGACAGGCCCTGAAAGTCAAACCATTTGCAATGTTACACCCCTTAAGCTAAAATACAGAATGTAATAATAAGGATATATAAACAAAAGTTATGCATCGTGATCATTATAGATAATGAGAATCTAATGATTCTGAAAGGAACCATGTTAAGAAAGGTGACCCTGACAAACAATTTAGAGATTCCAGTTAGAGTGGTATAAAAATCTGACAGATCTGTGGGGGTAGATTTAGGAAAAAGAAGGACAAAGGTTGCATTTTCTTTCTCACTGTTTTCCTGTTGTACTATATACAGTATATAAAGAGTTTAAACTAAGAACTGAATGACAGATACAAATCTTTGTTTTTAATTACTATACTGTGCAGAGAAAAAGATCTTTAACACCATGTATCCATGTCCTTTTCTCCACCCTTAATCCTTACCTCTATTATAACTGTTCGGGGTCAAAAAACACACTTCTGTTTCATCATCTGTGGTGCACAGTGTTTAGAATGCAGTATTGCAGGCTAACTCTGCCCACTGACAGGAGTTTGATCCTGACTGGATCAAGGTTGACTCAGCTTCCATCCTTCCAAGGATGGTAAAATGAGGACTCAGATTGTTGGGGGCAATATGCTGGCATTGTAAGCTGCTCAGGGAGTGCTGTGAAGCACTATAGAGCGGTATATAAGTCTAAGTGCTATTGCGATTGCTATCATCTCTCTGTCTCCTTCACTGGGCACCCAACATCTTGGAGGCCACTGATTAAGCTTAGCAATTTATTTTATTTTCAATTCGCAGAGTAGTATATTTCAAAGTCTATGCTCTTTTCGGAGAAATTGGTATCTCAGTTTACTAGTAGTTTAATAGGAAAGGAGCTGAAGGCAGTGTGAACGTTTCTAAACAAATTCAGCCAGCACAGCTACTTCAGTATCTATTGGATAAAAGTAATTGAATAAAGTCAATATCATTTGTTAGGCAAAAGCAAAAACAATGTTAATTCTATGAATAATCGGCATTTTAATTACATAAATATTAGGTGCAGTAGAAATTGGAAGAGGCAGATTTGTTTCTCTGCCTGACATGATTCTGATAAGTATGTCCTGTCGGAAGCCATACTTGTATTTCTAAGATATTTTTTTAGAAATTTATAATGTGTGTGTGTGTGTGTGTGTGTGTGTGTGTGTGTGAAGAGAGAGGGAGAGGGAGAGAGAGGAGAGAGAGAGAGAGAGAGAGAGAGAGAGAGAGAGAGAGAGAGAGAGAATAAAAGAGTGACAACTTGATAGACCTATTCCCCAAAGAGAGCTTTTAAACTTTTCACTAAGTGGATTGAAGATAAAAAGCATGTTTAAATTTGGAGCACAGGTAGCATCTGGGGATAATACTAGGTATGACCACTTGGTGTCAGTGTCGAATTTAAAATAATTTTATTGAAGTTTTATTTTCAATAATACTAATCACAAACGTTAGTAAATGGAGCAAAATAATCATAACACTGTAATAATCTTTAAAGGGCAGGGGAAAGATGGAAAGACAATTGTTTTAAAAAAAAGTGTGAGGCAGAAACAAATGGTCTGGAATATTATGTTTCACGTAAAACAACTTTGAAAATCCTTGCTTGAAAATTTTCTTCATCCTTGGGATTGGAAATCTCCCAGAATTTAAATATTGACAAACAACACATTTCAAAAATCTATTCCTACAAATTAAGTATGGATGTATCTTCTCTATGTTACATGATAATTATTTAGCCAAATACAATGGATATGGTCAAGAACAGTTTGGTCAAACTCCGGGAGACGGGAGGACAGGGGAGCCTGGCAGGCCAGGGTCCATGGAGTGGCATAGAGTTGGACACGACTTAGTGACTGAACAACAAACAATACGGGGATTGATCCAACGTCATGTTCACATCTTCGGATTGTTTTATATCTACATATATATTTATACAATATTGATAACATGTCAGCTGCCAATGTGATAATAATAGAAAACCAAACCATATCAGTTAATTGTCAAAGCAAGAATATTCAATATTAGTCGGAACCATGACATTAATATTCTAACTCCTGAGTCTCCTTTTCAGAAATTAGGGGAACATAAGCAACCTTTATTAAACATTCTCAGGACCATGGTGCAAAAATTGTGCTGCATTATCCTAATGTTAAGATTATAGGAAACTTACTTCATGGTGTTTAAATTGATCCTTATCTGGTTAATTGTCCAAACCTAGTGTGCATACATCCCTTTATTCCCTATTTGCTTAGATTCCACCTGCAGCTGCATAGTTTCTCCTTGGTGTGATAGATTAGAAATACAGCCACTGAAACACGGAAACAAATAATGTGAGATGTGATGAGCTATCTTAAGCTCTCAATACTCTTCTGTTTTAGTGATTTTTATGTGGGCATTGAGGACCTGGTAATAAGGTACAATATGGGAAAATCTGTATAGAACTCTGATTGTTGACCTTTAGGAAGCAGTTCGATAGATTCTTCCAAAAGTTTAATGTTTTTTCAGCTGGTTTAAAATGACATAGTTTTATGCTAAGTCTATAGGACAGAAGTCTTGAAAGCAGAAAATGACATTTGTTCAAAACAAGTCAAACAGTTGCTTTGAGGTAAGATGGGTGGCAAATAAATGTAATAAATAATAATTTTGTAGAAGCTGTTTGCGGCATTTAGATTTAGGGACAAAATTGAAAGTGGATTGAAAGTGCTGTGGAACTCACAGTAATCCTAAGAAAGAACCTTCTATTTCCAATTTTTTTAAAAAACAAGAATTTGCTAGGTTGTGGCAATTCTAAATTTGCTTCTAATATGTCTAATATTCCTTCTTTTTGTCTTTCCTTGCTTCATTTCCAATCAAGGCTGCCTGAAAATGAAATCAGGGAAATGGCTGGTGACTGTGAGATAGCATGTCAAGATACAGGATCAAATGGTAGTGGTAGCCCGGAGCATTTTCAGGTGCAGTACTACAGTCAAGTGCTGTAGATTTTTATTTGAGAAACCAACAAAATAGCTGCAATATTCCACACATTGGTGTGCTCATCTTTTCCCCAGAGAACATCTGAGCTTTGGAATCAAGAGCTATCAAGATCTCATTGGTTGCACACAACATCCTGCCTAATGTGAGATGCTGAAAACTAATTTAAATAGAAACACATCATATGTCTGCATATGGGTTGCAGACACATACTGATTCAGCAATTCTAAAATTAGAATTGTGTGATATTCTCTAACTGAATTTCCTTCCTCTTTTCCCTGTATTTTGAGCTATCATTTGAAACTGATGAGAAAACGGAATTAACATTTCATCTTAATGAAAATCTACCTTTGGAGACACTGGCCCTATTCATACATCATGCTAAGCCAAAAACAAACTAGCCCTATTAAAATTAGCACAATACAATAAAAAAATTCACCATGGTTTAGTATAATGCAGAGAAAAATCCATTGACTTGTTCAACAAAGCATGTTCTCATATATCCTGGCTGAGTGTCTTGTGAGAAGACAGCTTTATTTCCAATCCAGACTCCATATCTTGGTTACGGTATGATTTTTTCCACCTTTTTATCTGATAAGCTCAGAATGAGATTATGTCTTTTAGAATATTACTTATGCACATATGACTGTTAAGTTCCTAATCAATTCTCCAGTATTTCTTGAGAGCACCAGTTGTCTTCTGGTTTTGACTAAATAAAAAGTCCAAATATCTACAGTGAACAAAGGGCAGCAGAAAACACAAAGACAGCAACTGCCTCTTCCATATGCAGGAAAAAAAATGTTTGGAATGTAATAGCGTACAATAATGCCTGCTGCTCAGCATGTGTATGTATTTATAATTTACCATCCTATACAAGCACATCCTTGTTATTATTCTTTTTCTTTTTTCTTTTCTTTTATCCCATTTTCTGTTTTTCTCTTTTCAAAGGATAATTGTTCAAGAATAGTGGTGCATTTTATGTCTTGCTCAAGAACAATCTAACCGTGAAGCTCTATGAGGTTTTTGCCTGAAATTAAAGGATTAGAAGGGCTGGAACAAAGAGCATAAATGAATTCTTACATTTGGAGTCTATTGGAATTGTGGAGGAGGATAAATTTAAACAAACAAACAACCATAATCCAGATTGGAAACAAACTCCATTTCTTGATCGTCATAAAAGACAGCTGCCTTTTGAAATCCTTCAAAATGCAATGGGTGGAGGAGGCAGTTAGCTAGAGCCAGTGAAGGCAATGAGGCCTGTTCATGAGGCATTCTTTGCTTGTGTCACCCAGGTGGCAGTATAGCCTGGGCCAGCTGCAGCTCTGTAGGGTGCAGGGTGTTCTCTTTAAATGCTATTATTTAGTAATAGCACTAGAAATTGGAGACTGAGCAAGCAACATTTTGTGTCATATAGTTGTCAGAATCATAGATTCTGCATCTCCTTAAAGTATAATGCTTTGATTATGAGATAAGCTAATTTTTACCTGACTAGTATACTCTCTAGATTTGGGTCTGTAGCTTCTAAAATTCCCAGCCACAATGGTCAGTGTCTGGAATTGTAGATCAGTATACCCTACGACCACTAAATTGGAGAAAATTATGAAAATCTTAGATAAACAACCAGTAGCTAACTGGTAGGAAACTTTAAACTTGCTTTTAAACTGTAGAATTTTTTTTCCAGCATTGGATGATGGGATGTGATGGCCCTCATTTAAATTAAGATGCTTAAAGCAAGGCATATTGGGCACACTGTGGAATATCAAAATGTTGGCTTTTAGTCGCCCAGCACTGTCTTTTCACATGATACCAAGCCAGGATATTTAAGAACATGTTTTGTTGAACAAATCAGTTGGATTGCTCCTAGAATTTTCTGCTAGAAGTACTATTGCAAAGGTTCATTCACATAAGAGAAGGAGCATTTAGAAGCCCCAGCTCAAAACAATAGCTGGCCTTATTCTTGGCAAGGCCCTACAGCAGGGTTCCCAACCCCCGGTCCATGGACTGGTACTGGACTGCTGCATGCCAGTAATTAGTCCACACAAATAAGCAAAGCCCCATTCACAGGATGCAGGCAGCACTCTCCAGTCTGTGGAAAAACTCTCCACAGAACCGGTCCCTGATGCCCCAAAGGTTGGGACCTCTGCTCTGCAGTACCTCTTAGCCTTAACTGTTTCTCAACTGTTTCTCAAGAGGGGTTAGACACCAAGGAGAAAATTGTAACAAATATTAGAATGAGACAACAGAAAGTTGATTACTTCTGTAACTTTTTCCTGTCTTCTCTTATTATTTTTAGAGCATGTTGTGAAATGACACTGCTGGATTCAACTTGAGTCTGACAGCTTTACCCGTCTCAACTTTACACAGGGAAGATCTATTAGAAAAAAAGTATTTTCTATCCACCAGGACATTTCAAATTTTTGTGTATTTTTCTTTCTTTACTTCGTGGAACAAATAGCTGCTCATTATCTATGTTCTCTTATTTTCTGTGGAATAAGTCTTGTTAAAATTAGCAGATGTATTTCAGCATATGTTTCAGACAGATAAATTGTTCTATTGCTTCTCTTTCTTTCTCCTCCTAGAATACAGTTTTACAATGAATTTATATTTCTGTGTTGAGCATTTATCCTGACATTGTGACACTTAGCTCATTCACAAGGCACATGATGCACTTCCCCAACTGTCTATTTTCCTGTCAATATTCTGAGCTTTGGTTGGGGTTTTTCTTTTGCCTGTGTTTATAGCAGTTATATGGAATAATCACTATTTCTAAACATTACTAAGTAAAATGTTTTACACTGGGTATTATGATTCATCCTATAAAGAGTGGTTTTAAAGTCCAGCTGTATGGAATCGGTAGAGAAGCAAAATGACCTGGCAGTTATACCTTATTGGAACATCGTAAGGAGTATGGTGCTGATAGCGGGGGGGGGGGGGATAAAAAGGGACACTAAGCAATCCTTTTACCTGGTGTATCATGGCTTGAAAAGTTCAGTTTGATAGGAAACAGTACACCATAGTCTTAGTTATTTGGAGGAGAAAGAACTAATGGGCAGGAAATTACTATTTTTTTTTAAAGCTACAGTATTCCCTGTTAACAGGAATGAAATCTGAGTCTGTGCATAGCAGCCAGGTTTTTTAATCTGTTAAATATAGTTTTTGCATAAATGTCTCTGCTCACAAATAAATTGAAACAAACTTGGCAGAACCTTGCAGCGTTTTATACTGACAAAATACAAATCTCATATTTTATGCACTTACATTGCTAGAAATTGGCAAGTGCCTTAAAGTCACACATTAAACACAATGGATACTCCATTGTATTTAGTAGAAATGTCTCCTGAATAGCTATTGTGCTTTGATAAAATATCCTCACTGAAATAACACACACAGGAAATGGGTTTCAGTGGACATTTTATCACAGCTGAGGAGACATTTGTCACAAAGATTCATCACAAAGGGCAAATTGTTATAACTCTTCCTCTGAAAAACATGGCTGAAGAAGATGTAGTATGGTTTCCTATTTTTTAAAGCATTGTCCACTTGGATCAGAGGAAAAATACCCTACCGTGTCCTTAAAGATATTACTCCAATTCCTTTCTTCTTCCTATTTCTTATAAATTAAGGAAGGCATATACTGCTTGATGCGGAGACATAGATTCGTTCATACAGAAATTAAAAACCATGTACCATTTCAATTTTTGAATTTCAACTTCAAAATTTTCATTACAATCTTTATTTTTAAAGGTAAATTTCAAACACTGAACAAGTCTACAACTCTAAGCATTGTACAGTTTCTTGTTGGTTCTTTCCTGTATGAAGTGCCTCAAGGTGTTTTTCAGTATCAGTAATAGTTATTAGAAAACAATATTGAAATAAATAATTGAAAACAAAATTGAAATAATATATTGGAAGAATATTGGAAGATAGAAAATTTTGACCTCAGGTTTTAAATATTCCACAAATATATATTAACATGTACAGGGAAGAATTTATTTTTTCTGTTAGTATTAATAATTTTGATCAGGCATTTGGGACTATTGAGAACAGACAGCCCTTTTCAATATTATATATTACAAATAGCTGCTGTCAAGATTTATGTGCAGAAAGTTTTTTTATTCTTCAAATTTCAGATTCTTTGATACTCTCTTTTCAATCACACAGCAGACTTAGGTCACAAAACAAATCTTTCAACTTTTCTTTACCTAGATCTCTGGCTTTTTAATCACTAGTTGTGAAACTTGGGCCAAAACTGTTCTACCAGCTTAAGCCCCTGATGAATATTGAAAGTTCACGAAAGGAAACACCCTGTCATTCTGTGTTAAGATCAAATTTTCAGCTCATATGTTCCCTCCTAGAGATTCCTGGATATAAGTTAATTATTATTGTGCAAGTTCTATTGATTTATGTTTTAGGAGGATAAGTAGCTCTATTCATAATTTTAAAATTTAAATGTCTGAAAGCAATTGTGTGGCAAAACTTAAGATTTCAGTCATCTTTCCTGCACTAATAGTCACATGAACTAACTAGATAAAGCCCATTTCCTGAATTATATTATATTTTCAGACATTACTTATCTGTTAGATTTCTGCAGAAGTCTATAGCTGCTGTCTTAGAAGAACCTGAATCCAAATCAGATCCATACAACAATTTATGGAGTGTTCTGAGCTATTCAGGTGGACAAGTAATACTCTTGGACCTACAGTAACAATGGCATTTTGAACAGACTTAAAGTATCTAAAGCTGTCATTTAGAACATGGAATACAATTCTTCAGTGTTATTCCAAAACACAGGAGAAAAAAACAATGGGTTTAAATTCCAACAAGTAGATTTCAGCAGAACACCAGGAAAAATTTCCTAACCATACAAACTGTACAACAATAGAACAGTCTGCCTTTGGAGATGGTGGATTTTCCTTTGCTGGAAGGAAACTGGATAGTCATATGTTATAGATACTGTAGTACTGGGTTCTTACACTTGTTAGCGGATTGGGCTAGATGCTATCCAAGGTCCCTTCTAATGCTTGCATTTCCTGATTCTATGATCGTAAATGTAATATGATAGAGGTTAGGAAGTATTGGATTTTAATGTATAAGCATTTTCTGAAGTGATCCTTGACTTGATGGAGCATGCCAAGGTAAAACCAACATTTTACAGCATTTCTTCTTTTTCTGTTTTCTTCTCAAAAATGTTCACTAATGACACATTATGAAGGGAATTGTAACCAGATAATTACAGATTCAGATTCAGGCATGATCTGTCCAAGAATTCATCGGAGTCAAGCTCACCTGAAGACTGCTTTTTTACATGAGTAAATGGAAATTAAGTCATGTAACCTCAATGGGGCACACTTCTGAATAGATATATACAGTATTGTCCTGTCAGAAGTGAATTTAATCTTAAAACACAAAAAACTGAAAAAGCTTTTTGGATTTGAAACGAAACATTTCTGAAGGAAACCCCCCCAACCCTGCCCCCCAAAGTCCAGTTGCCTTTTGGAAAAAGCACCTTTGGGAGAACCATGATATGGATGATTGAGAATTTCCATAGACATGTGAAACACAAAGAAGTCTTTAGCCATTGTCTACATTTCTCAATCTTAAACCCACTCTTTGTAAAATTAATAATTTCTGTTCCTCTTAATGTTTTAATGTGAGAACTTCACATTGCTTTATCATATTTGATGACCATTAGAAGATTTTTCTTCTGAAATTTCATAAGCAATTTTATCTTGGTGTGTTTGTGTTTGTGTATGTATATGCATATGCATCCATATACAGCCACAGAGAATATTCTGTCATTACAAAATATAGCCATTTATGTTCTCTCTTTATATAAACTAAGTGAAGGTGAATCAAAGATAGATTTACCAAGGCAAGCATTGGTCTTAATTTTTTCCATAGATACCGTAACTTGTGTGTGTTTTAGTGTGGCAAAACTTACTGTCTGGATATTAAAATGTGTGATTCCAGCTACAGAAAAGGAAAACAGGGTTTGTTTGTTTTTTTGGCATATTACACAATGCTTTTGAGGTTCCTGTACTTATCACGGAATTTGTGAAGTGGCTGAATTCTTGATAATTTCTCAAGCATGAATCATTATTCACTGAGTCAGTATTACTATGTAATGTCTACACCAAGCAAAGGAATACTGCAAGTCCTAATTTGTGGTCATGTAGGAGCAAGCAGAGGCACGCTTCACCACAAAGTCAGTTTTCTAAGAGTACGGCATTCTGCTCTGTAATAAAGTCACACAATCCTAAAGTACACCAGCCAAATCTGTTCAGGCAATCACAGCGTCCCTCTGTCTTTCTTGCTGAATTAATGGACAGTAAGCTGGCTTCTCACATTGATTATGGACATCATATCATAACTGCATATGGCCCTTTTTGCATGGTGTGTACATTCCTTTTGCATGTGTTTTATAGCTGAGAGCTATTAACCCACAAAATGGAAGTTTTGCTGAGCTAAATCTTTTACAGACAGAGAACTCAGTTCTTTATTTACTAGACACATCCTTTGTTCTAGGAGAGTTTAATCATAATCTAACATTTTCAGTCTTGCTTTTTATCATAATCCTTGTTGCTCCACACATTGATATTAGTAATATTTATTTTTAAACACAATACAGAATATTTTTTAAAAAAAATTTGAAGAACAAATATGATTTTAATTGGTTCGGGTTTAATTAAAGTGGTAATCCATGTTTCCACTGGATAAAAACCTAACTGCTTTACATAACCATATCCACAATAAGCATGGTTCAAGAATAGTCTAACTTTAGTTGAATTATAGTGATAATAGAAAAGCTGCAATTTCTTTAAGTCATTGTGAGGAAATAATATTTATGGCAGCTTGCTACTGTGAGATGAAGTGAAGTGGCAGACTTTTTTCCTGTCTGCCCAAAGAGATCACAGATATGAAGCCAAACAACTTTAGAAGAACATGCTGATATACTTTAGAAGTCAGGTCAATAAAGCCACTGTAATATATATGTGATCACAGACTCAAGGAAGAAAGTGCAAATAACAGAGCAATCAGTTCAAGGTTTGTATTTCCAAGCAGACATACTGTATGTCTATATTCAGATGGCAGCTGCTCTGTCAGCTACTTTCGCAAACACCATGGTTTTGAAGCACCTACATTCTCAGTGTTGCCTGTCACCTAAACTCTCGCTTCAGATTTTCTGTGGCCTTAGATTCGTTCTCAGCAGCAAGAAATGTTTGTGCACATGAGCCCACCTTTTGCAGAATAATGAATTTGCATGGATTTTTCTTTAGTTTTAAGAAGTGTATGGTCAACTATGTGTTGAATTTTAGCAACAGCTGTAATAATGAAAAGCATTCCAAAAAGATACTTTATTAATCTGACATATTCAACATAGGTGAATTTCAAAGGTACAATCTCCTCAAAATCTTACTATGCTGCCCATTAGATGAGTAATCAAGTAGGTGTTTTTTTTTCTCACATTCATTTGACAATAATGATATAATAATAATCTGACAATAAACAGATGTCTTATTCCTCAGGTAATTGTCTCCCTTAGATCACAACATCCTCACTGCAGCAGCAGGACATTTGCAAATGTCTCTGAGTAGCCATTTTCCTACCACTTGATTCTTCTTTCTGGGCTGCTTCTCCATCTTTTACCTCTCTAGACCTTGATCAGTCCCCAGCTGATTCACTGTGCTATTTCATCAAAGAAGAAACTAGACAGCCTCCCTTGTTCTGCCATTTCAGTTGAACTATCAATCAATTTTCTGAATCCTTTGCATGTCCAGCTGCCCTCTCCTTTTGCTATCC